CATCCCTGGGGGTGTTGAAGGGCAGGTTGGAGGGGGCTTGGAGCAGCCTGGGCTGCTGGGAGGGGTCCCTGCCCATGCAGGGGGTGGGACTGGGTGGGATTTAAGGTCCCTTCCCACCCAAACCAGTCTGGGATTCTGTGACCCTCCCAGGCATGGCCAAGCCATGGGGGGGACAGCAGCCCTGCCCCAGCCCCCTTACCTCCAGGGCCACAGTACCAGTTGTGGTGGAAGTAGACGCAGATGGCGAACGCGAAGGTGATGAAGGTGAAGAGGAAGAGCAGCTGCTTCCACTTGTACGACTTGCGCTCCTGGAAGAGACCAAGGGCTGGGTCACAACCTGGGCCTGTCCCCCTGACCCAGCTGAGCAGGGACCTGCTGAGGTCACAAGCAGCTCAGCCTTTGCCCCTGTGGACACTGGAGATGCTGGAGCAGCCACCCAGCTCCCCAGGGAAGCCTGGGCAGGCACCAGGGGCCCCTCTGCACCCGGGTTCCTCGGGCACAGCCACCCAGGAAATGACCTTGGAGGCACAAGGGGGGGATCACACCCACGTGGAGATGAACCAAGTTGCTGCCCACAGTGGGGAGCCCCAAGGGCAGGATGCCATGGGGGGCTGCAGTGCTCCAGAACCCACCCAGCTCCTTCCCTGCACAGCCAGTGAGGGGAAATGGGGGCCAGGGGGTCATCAGACACCAGCAAGCTACAGAGCCAGAACCCACCCGTGTCCTGGGCTGTGTCACCAGCAGCATGACCAGCAGGGCCAGGGAGGGGATTGTCCCCTCTGCTCTGCTCTGCTGAGACCCCCCTGCAGGGCTGGGAACAGCTCTGGGGTCCCCAGCACAGGGAGGACATGGAGCTGTTGGAGAGAGGCCAGAGGAGGCCCTGGAGATGCTGGGAGGGCTGGAGCAGCTCTGGAGCCAGGCTGGGAGAGTTGGGGTGTTCAGTCTGGAGAAGAGAAGGCTCCAGGGAGAGCTGAGAGCAGCTTCCAGGGCCTGAAGGGGCTCCAGGAAAGCTGGGGAGGGGCTTGGGACAAGGGCAGGGAGGGATGGGAGCAGGGGGAAGGGTTTCCAGCTGGCAGAGGGGAGAACAGGAGCAGGTTGCCCACCCGCGGGGATGAACATGGGGCTCTCCCCACTCCCCCAGGTCAGGCCCAGGGCTGTACCAGGCAGCAGATGCTCCAGCTGCAGGTGGCCCCGGGCTCTGCCCAACGGTCCCGGGGGGGGGAATTCACCGGCAGGGCGGGCGGAGGCGGCCGGGGCTGCTCCCCCCCTGCAACTGCAGCCGGGAGGAGGAAACCACAGGCTGGGGCGGGCGCTGGAGGCACCGGAGAAACCACCTCGGGGCCCCATCCTGTCCCCACAGCACCACCTTTAGCAGCACCACAGGTGGGAGCAGAGCACGGGGATGAAGTGTTCCCACCACACTGAGCATCACGGAGAAAGATCCGTTAATGCCCTTTGGGTGAGCACAGAGTCATTGACTCACAGACTGATTTGGGTGGGAAGGGACCTCAAATCCCACCCAGTCCCACCCCTGCATGGGCAGGGACACCTCCCAGCAGCCCAGGCTGCTCCAAGCCCCATCCAACCTGCCCTTCAACACCCCCAGGGATGGGGCAGCCACAGCTTCCCTGGGCAACCTGGGCCAGGCTCTCCCCACCCTCACAGCCCAGAATTTCTCCCTCCCATCTCAGCTCCAGCTCCCTCTGCCAGCTGGAAACCCTTCCCCCTGCTCCCATCCCTCCCTGCCCTTGTCCCAAGCCCCTCCCCAGCTTTCCTGGAGCCCCTTCAGGCCCTGGAAGCTGCTCTCAGCTCTCCCTGGAGCCTTCTCTTCTCCAGGCTGAACACCCCAACTCTCCCAGCCTGGCTCCAGAGCTGCTCCAGCCCTCCCAGCATCTCCGGGGCCTCCTCTGGCCTCTCTCCAACAGCTCCGTGTCCTTCCTGTGCTGGGGACCCCAGAGCTGTTCCCAGCCCTGCAGGGGGGTCTCAGCAGAGCAGAGCAGGGAACCCTCATGGCAGAGGAACCCCAAACTGCAGCTGGACATCAAGGAAGACAAGGGGGGGATCCAGAGTCTCCATTCCGATGTGCAGAGCCCTGGGGAAGCCCCCCGGGGGCAGGGGGTGGAAAGGAGGGTTCAGCCCCAAACAAAACATCCGGGGGTGCCACAAAAGGCCCAGACAGGGGCTGTTATTCCCACTTCTGGGTGGGAGGGGAATTTCCCCCTCGTCTGACGTTTCACGTGAGACAAAACCTCCCGTTTTCAGGGACTGCTGAGAACAAGGAAAATTTAAATTGCTCCATCCCCCCCGGGCCCCCCCAGCTCCCCGCCCCGGAAAGCTCAGCTCTGAGAGCACAAACAGGTCACAGCAGGGAGGAAAACCCAGAGAGGAAGGACGGCCCCGCCGGTGCCCTCAGCATCTGGGGGCAACATCTGGGGACCTGGGGCCTTCACCTCCGCCCCGGGGGCCTGGGCAGGTTCTGCTCCCCTCGGGTTGAGCCAGGTCCCTCTCCCCAGCACCTCCCAGGGCCCCGGGAAGCAGGAGGAGGCTGGAGCTGAGGGGTGAGGGTGGGGAGCTGCAGTGCCCGGGATGAGGCGCCGGGTCCCCAAGAGCCCCTGGGGGAGAGAGGCAGGGCCCTGGCACTGCCCCACACTGTGCTGCACTGCACGG